AACACTCTACAGTGAGAGACATGAAAAATAAATATTATAATGAGTGAGAATACTATTCCACCTATTCGTGAGTTTCTTCCTTTTATATATATATATATATATATATATATATATATATATAGTTGTGCCGTAAAATAAATAATTATGGTTTCCCCTTACCTAGCATATTAATGCTTCCAGTAATAATAATAATAATAAAAATAAACAGACTTCGATGTCTGAGTTTCATATTTGCTTCCATCAAGGGCATATGCTGATAATTCTGACATTTATTCTACGTAGTTCCTTGTGGAAATAGTAAAGGGAATTGAATTATCAATCAATTATATTTATTATAAAGGCTTAAAATTAAGAAGGATCTCCTCCTTACAATCAGTTTTGACACTCGTTAAATTCAAGCAACATTGACAAAGTTTCATGAAAAAAGAAAAAAGAAGAGATTTTCTATTTAAACTCCGCACTTCTCTTTGTTCACCCCAATACTTAAATCATTAAGCTGTAAATTTTATTATTGTATAAAAAGACAAAAAAGGTCATCCAACTTAATAATTAACCCTAGTACATCTATACACACACCCCCACACACCCCACCACTCTTTATATTAAGTTTTAAAAACCTTCTTCCAACTTCCTGTTTTCAAACTCTCTCTCTCTCTCTCTCTCTCAACTCAGCAATACCCAAGTGTTAGAATTCCAGTTACAGTTCTTGGAGAAAGGTAAAGTTGTTTTCTTTCTCTAGGAAATATTAAATTTCAGATTTGGGGTTTCATTTGTTTGTATTTTTTTTTTTTTGCTGAGAACAAAGAAAATTGTGGGATTTAAATAGAAAATCTCTTTTAGTTTTTATTTTTTTAGTTTGGGGTGTATTTAAGGGTAGTTTGGGAAGATAGTGGGGTTTTCTTAGAAATTGTGAAAATTTAAATTAAAAGTTGGGGTGAACTTAGAACATGGGGTGAACTAAGAGAAGTGTGGGGTTTAAATAGAAAATCTCAAAAAGAATACTAAAAAAATGTAACATGTGTCAAAACCACATTGGTTATGAGGGAGGAGCTCCTCCTCAATTTTAAAGAGCCGAGCTTTTTCCTTATTGCTTGATATATTGCGCATGAAATCTAGTCTCTCCGTCCCCATTGGTAAACAATTTACTATTCATATCCACTCTAGAGTAAAAATTTTAAAATGACTCCATGTCTCCATGTTGGTCTTGCACTTGTTGCAATGTAAAGATCCAAAAATCTATAAAAAGAAACTACATAAAATAGTTCATTACAGATGTGGTTGTGGGAGCAAATAATTTCAAGACCACTTTAGTGACGTCACATGGAAATTAAAATAAGGGTCAAACTTGTCATAGGTCACATTTATTACGTTGATCAAATGCTCATTTAATTAGCTAATTAATGGGGTCTAAAATAAAGCTTATCTCCACAAATCAAGCAAAATTAGTTGCATTCAATTTTTCATGTTCTTATGAATCTTATCCATCTCCTGTGTCAAAGGGATAATTCCTTGAATAAAGAAATTATTCTCCCTTAATAATTCAAGAGATGACTACAAGATATTTCGCATATTTACAGCAAAGCAAAATACACCAAAAAGGTAATCAATTCAAAAATCAACAATTAGTCTTAGGATCAATTTCGATTGCCACCTATTCCTTAGTGCTCGTTTGGCATTACTTATTTAGAGTGATAATTGATTTTAAAAAAAATTTGGGAAGCCCAGCCCATTTGGTAAACTATAAGAAAATCATTTATTGTTAAAAATTGATGTAAGAGAAAGTTATAAAGGAAAACAACTAATGAGGTGCTTGCATTTCTGATTATGCGGGAATCATTTTCGAAGAGGCGCTGAGTTTAATGATTATGCGGGAATCAGTACCAACTACAGTTTTAATAAAAAGTCAACTAAAAGCCAAACTGCTTTATCTCACAGCTGATTCAAAGAGGCGCTGAATTTAATGATTATGCGGAAATCAGTACCAACAACACTTTTAATAAAAAGTCAACTAAAAGCCAAACTGATTTATCTCACAGCAAATTTGAATAGAGAAATTATGAAATCCTTATGTGGGTTTAATGATTATGCGGGTCGATCTATTTACTTGCTTTCACTGTTTTTATTTACTTTTATTGCCCCTTCCATTATATGAGAGAAATTATAAAGTTCTTATTTGTCTTCAGGCATAGAAAAGAATCTCAATTGAATAGTTTATTATTTAGTTTACAATCTTTTGATTAGAATCAGTTTACTTGGTGCGCAAAACTTTTTATTTATTTATATTTCCATCTATTAAAATGAATTATTTGATAATAATGGCACTCTCGCAATTCACGTTTTTCCCAAAGTCTGCTCTTGGGCTTTGTTAACATTTTCAGAGTAAACAATTGCTTTGTTAAAAAAAAATAAAAATTAGTGATTATCTAATGTGAGTGCGTAATTGATAATCATTTCCCTCCATTGTGGACTTTCTATTCCATTTAGCCATTCAACTGTTTATTAATTCCACCGTTCAACCCATACGTATGTATACCCCCCAGGACTACGCCTATATCCAAGTAATTAACACTATAAAGTATATATGATTGTTAAAGTCATACAAAAGCTCTCTTTTAAAACTTGACTTTTGGATATAACTTTGATTAGGCTGATCATTTGGTGTGTTCAGGCCAAAATAATTAACTTGATTCCCCGTAGGAGATGGAAGATTCTTGTTTATTTTTTATTTCTAATAACTGGTATAAGTATGCCAAGGTCTACACCATCTCCAAACTCATAGCAGAGGATGGCTAGAGACAAGAATGTTGGTCCAATGGTTCTTCTCCTTGTTTTTGGTATGATCTCACTCACATCCTTCTTCAACTATTGTTCCTATTCTTCTCCTTATATCCTACCATTTTGTGAGGACTGAAAGGAGTAAGTTTTTTTCATGACTAATTCATCTTCTTATACCTTTAACAAAATTTTGCATCCATCTTTTCCAACATATCTTGAAAATTATCCAATTCAATCCTAGGCACGAAACGTAGGCTAAGAGTTCATGCATGCTGCCTTTATCATATTGAAATATAGAATCATTTTTGGGGGGTAAAATCGTCCCCGGCGATAACATGTTTCAGGTTTTATGAGAGTTTTTTTTTCTTGATTATGATGATACTATGCAGGTTCAATCCTACTGGGAATCAATCCAAGCACAGCCAAAATTTGCCCTCAGTATTGTACGGACCAGGCAGGTTATATGACCTGTCCATCTTCAGGCAATACGCAGCTTTCACCATCTTGCAATTGTTGCTTAGCTCCGGCAGGCTGCACCATTTACAGAACTGACGGAACTTCAATCTGTACTGGTACTTAAAATGAGTGAGCATGGGGCATGCCTTGTATGATATAAATAATTATGGTTTGCCATGAATGGTTTTGAAGTGGCAATATCCATGCTGCCACTGATGAAGAATAATATATGGTCATAATAAATGGGCTTTCCTTGACGCCTAATGCTTCCACTAATGTATATTTGCTTCCTCTGAGACTGGGAACAAGTTGTCAAAAACAAAACGTTAGTAACAACTCACTCCTTTTTATTTGTTAGAATGTACACATTCAACTAAAAATTAATTAGCAATATAATTATAGAAGCTTTAGATCTTTTAAAGCACTAACCAAAGCTTTCTTAATCGTGAGATACTCGTGCTTCACATATGGCATTTCCTCATCCTAACATGTTTTCAATTTATATTAAGTGAGGAGCATGTGTGACCCTCGAGTCTAACACGTGAATCCATGAGTGTAAGTCTTACATTGAGCCTTGAGATTCTTTCAAATTTCAAAGATTGCAACTAAGATGGAAAAATCGCAATGAAATTGTGTAGTTTTGAACCGAAAAAATGAAATTCGATAGTTATGTTGGCAATATTCGGAGCAAGCATGAGGCATTATTATGACTATATATTTGGTGCATGCAGCATGGAGTCTTTCCTCTTGGTGCATGCTGCATAGCCTGCATGAATCTTCCACTTTGATCTGGTTTAAAATTTTACATAATTTTCGACTTTCTTGAAATAGGGCAGAGCCGGTCCTTTAGATATGGAGGTCCTGTGCGAAAAGAGCTGATGAGGCCCTATACGTATAAGTAAAATAACAAATTTTCAATTTTTTTTAGGGATAGAAATTAACATGATTTATTAGGTTTCTTGCAATCATATGATGGCTATTCCAAATGCAACACATAATTTCTAAATCCTAATATGAGAGAGGGAGATGTGGTGGAGGAGCACACATAGCACGCTTTTTGCCTTGCCAAAATGTAAAGAATAATTTTTTTTTGGATGGGAGAGTCAAGAAGAAGTTGGGAAGAAGTGAATTTGGGGCCAAATGAAAGAGAAAGCGATTTGGGAATAGCAAGGAGAGCATGCCGCATGCACGCATGACTCACGAGTATTTTTTTTAAAATTTGTTAATGCTTGGAACAAAAATCTGCACGTTAGGAATAAAAAATAATGTTTTGGAATAAAAATTTGCTTAGAACGAAAAGTAGCAGAAAATATAATTTAATGCTGGGCTTTTAAAAACATTTGGAGGTCCTATGCAGTTGCACAACCCGCACATGCCATGGGCCGCCTCTGAAATAGGGTAACGGTTAATTACTGGATAATCGTTCAAGAATCAGTCTAATCGGTTAGTCTTACATCAACAGCATCGTGTAAAATTCACTAATTGAAGTTTATAAGGAAATATATAGGGCAAAGTACAATTAGTTGTGTAACTTTTTCTTTCATCAAACTCTTTTTTATCTTTCTCCTCTCTGTTCTGGTGTTAGTCCTCCTTGTCCACAGGTGGGGCAACCCTTTAGTCCGAATCCTTGGCAATCAAAACACCTAAATCCATGTGCATAACAAGCTCATTTATATGAGACAATATAAAAAAGATATAACAAATAAAAATTGTTCTATTCATTACATTTTTTTTTTATAGAAAAAGAACCAAACTAATTTTTTATATTTTAGAGCCATAAATAACTTACTTCCATCGCTCAAAAATATTCCCATTCTTCTTATTTCTTCCCGTTCCCTGAAAAGTAAGTAGGGGGTGAGATGATATAGTGGCATTGCGTCCCAAACAAAAATGCTAATAGCAGCCATTAAAGCAAAAGCAGGGGTACGGATCTTGGATTTCAAAATGATGTGGGCGATTTATCTTAAGGGTGAGTTGTTAATTTTGAACTGGGCTAAACCTTAAACCTTATTCTTTGCCGATCTAGTTGTGACGAAAAAAAGAAGAAGATTAAATTAAACAGTTAGTACGAGGAGATGAAAATGAAGTGAAATTAAGAGAGCACCTTGCATCCTAGACATTCAATTGCACCTTTGCCTCCACAGGTTTCACACTTTTTCAAGAACTACATGCGAGAAAAAGAGTACAAGAATTATTGCATAAATATATATGAAATATAACAGCAAATCACCTAAGGTACTTAAATTCGAAGTTTGCTTTCGACTTTTTTTATGCTAATAATTTAGAAAATGTTCTTGGTACTCAATTAATTTTCATTTTAAGGCATTATATGTTCATAGTATAACTGGGAGAAAGAAGTGATTTATAGAATATAACTTCAAATCTTATTATAACTGAAAAAAAAGGAAGGAAAAAGGGCATACAGAGTTGAGTGAAAATCCTCCAGATTTTGCTGCAAAAACTGCAACTGCTCTGGGCCTCTTCTGCTCTATGATGGTTGAGGTAAGCTGAGGGCTAATTGGCACTGCAGGATGAGGATGAGGAGTCAAACTGTTGCAAGACATGGAAGGTTTGATCATCATTTGTTTTCTTTCTTATCAAACCAAGAAGAAATGCATGAGATTTACTCTCCACACTTATAATCAGTAGGCTGTCTCTTCTCCAAAGATATTATTGAGGTGGAATGAGTGAACTAGAAAAATCTCACCACACCCACAAATTTTTATTTGATGGGTCCACTGTTTGGCCTTCCACAAGACAAGACAAGTAGACCATTCAAATAATTACAAGTAATTATATACTTGGCAATCTTTGCTGGACATACTTCAATGGATAACGGTTATTTTTTTCTTTTCTTTTGGGCCTCAGTATAGAGGGTTAGAAATGAATGTAACAATCATGACTGGAGCGCGCCCTTTTTTTTTTTTTTTTTCCCTTTCTCCCAATTATAAGTATACAACTATTTTCTCTTTCCCAATTAGGGTGTGTAAATTGGAGATGTAACATATCTACACCTATGAAATTGTTGTTCTAGTTGACCAAGAGATTGCAAAATTAATATCTTGCATTTTCAAAATTAAAGATGAAGATATTTGGATTGTTGTCTCTCAAATTCTTTTATAGTTAGTAAAATATGGAACGGGAAAATACGAATAAAATACGTACGTGTTTTATTTGGCAAGTTACAATTGAAAATATTGAAAATTTCGGCCATTGTATAATATTTTAATATATACTATTTTCATTCAATAATATGTGAAAATTAAGTGTATAATACGCGAATTTTGTGTGTATTATTGAAAATTTTGTAAACAACATATGTATTAAACATGAAAAATACGTACATACGTGTATTGTATATTTACTTTTTTTAAAAACGTGTATTTTACCGAGTCTTTAAGATGTGTACAAAAAACAAAAGTATTATTGAAAAATACATACATATGTGTGTAATACGAGTATTAAACCGGAAAATGCTAAATTCTTTATATGGGCAATAACTTTAGAAAAGTAAAAAATTAAAAGGGGACAATAGAGACTTGGGTAATGGCCTAATTGTGGTGAATAATGCTCTAAACTACTCTTATCGATAAACGAAAATCAGAGAAAAAAATTATATAAAAAAAAGTATCACAGTATATATTTGAAGCGTATGGCTATACTATTTATTTAAAAAAGTTAGGCCAGTATAGCCGTGCGGCTATACCTTTAAATATCATATATTTCCAGAGTATAGCCGTGCGGCTATACGACGTAGATTTTTTTTTTTGGGGAAAAGGACCCTCTACGAGTATAGCCGCGCTGCTATACGTTGTAAATATATTATATTTACAAAGTATAGCCATGCGGCTATACTATTTATTCTTTAAATATATTATATTTAAAAAGTATAGCCGTGCGGCCATACTATTGAAAAGAACTAAGAAAAAAAGAACCCATTATATGTGGCTGTACTGTTTTTTTTTTTTTTTTCAAAAAGACTGCCTAGTAGCACCTAGCCGGCCGATTGATTGATTGATTTTTTAAATTTATTGAAAGAGTATAGTCGCATGGTTATAATCCGCGTGGCTATAGTATTTTATTAACAGAAAAAAAAAAAAAAATCTACAATAAGAACTAACATCATGAAATGCACCTCAACTTGATGAACCTCTTGCAATAACGTTGATTGTTGGAGTTTTAGGACTCATTCTATACAAGGGTATCTTTTATCGCTAATTATTATAAATTTTATTTATTTATTAATACTTATTATAAAAAATAAAAAATAAAAAATAAAAAATAAAAACAAGGAAACAGAAAATTAAAAATCAATCAAAATAGTTCAACAACTTGTCTTTCATTTCAGCTTCCCAATCGAACACTATATATAATCGAAAATCGAAAATTTCAGTTCTTTCGAATTTTCGTTGAACTCTCAACGAAGCTTCATCTACTCTGCAGAAATGGCGAAGCCTGAGAATTCGAAGCCCAATATTCCCCACTACGTTCGTTCCTCCGCCAAAGTCCACCCCTCCAACGACTTCGACGCCGACCCCAACTCCTACTCCCTCGAGAAATTCAAGCTTTACGAAACCAGACAGGTGCCCACTCAATCTGTCCCAAATTCTAGGGTTTCGAATTCTTCATTCTTCTGAGACTATTTGATTGTGCATTGGATCAGCGGTTTTACTTGATTGGGAGCGATCGGAACAAGAGGTTCTTCCGGGTGTTGAAGATCGACAGATCGGAGCCCGACGATTTGAACATCAGCGAAGACCCCGTCGTCTACTCGCCACAGGAGATCAAGAGCCTGCTTCAGAGAATCGCTGAGGGCAACCGTGCCACCGGAGGCCTTACCTTTGTGGCCAAGGTTTTTGGGATCGCCGGTTAGTGTCTTAGAGACCTCATTTTCATGCTTGTATGAATTCAAATTCACGTCCTTGTTCACTCTAAGAAGACCCTTGTGTTATGTTTTTATATGGGCTTTTGGTGTTTTCTAGGTTGCATTAAGTTTCTGGAATCTTATTACTTGATTTTGGTCACCAAGCGTCGGCAAATAGGAAGTATATGTGGGCATGCGATTTATAGTATAGACGAGAGCCAATTGATTACTATTCCGCATGTATCAATGCAAACTGATATCGCTCATTCTAAGACCGAGTTGCGGTAATTTCTTCCCTTATTCTGATGTTTCTCTGTTCTGTGTATATTTAAATAATAGCCTAATGTGCCAGAGGTATATCAAGTCTAAAAGATATTTGGTTGCGTTTACGGTCACTGGGTTATTTAATGGTATAATCAACATGGTCTCTCACCATTTTGCTCATGCATCAGGCTTGTACACTAACAAGAGGGCAAAAAGAATAGGATAGAAAACAAAGCGTTCAAAGTAAAACCTGTTTTGTACGTGTATCTCAGGGACACTAGGGTGAGGTTTCCCTTGAAGTTTCATGGAGCCACTTAAGTCATTAGCACTGAGACAGCTACCCACAGTACAACAGTGTTAGCACAGGAAAGAAAGAACGCTGATTTGTATTTGCCAATGTCCAGTAAGAAAAGAGAAAGCTTGATTTAGAGTTTACATATTTGGCTTACCTAGACAAACCAAGTGATGGTTGCACAAATATACTGTCCACAAATGACCCTGGTAATGATTTCATTTACAATCTACGTAGTGTCTACATGTTAGTACATGGAGAATGGTATGATTGGGATGTATATGTTTTAAGATGTAAAGTGACTGGTGAAGAAAATGCCATCTCCTGTGGAGACCGTTGAGGTAAGAACTCTGCACTTAATATATTAGTTGGAAGATACATATATATTTTTTGCTTCATGTACCACTTGTGGATGGGCTTATAAGAGTGTTCTTTCCATTATTTAATCAGTAGGTGGTTTCATATTTAGAAAGGCGAACATATTGTAATGGGACTCTGCAGGCTTCAACTTTCGCAGCTTCATACCTACCAGCTAATATACTTGGCATTTCAACTTGTATAGAATATTACTTATATTTTTATCTCTTAATTGCAGGTACAAGAAGCTTCTATCCAGTGTTGATTTGACCAAAGATTTTTTCTATAGTTATACATATCCTATAATGCAAAGTTTGCAAAAAAATGTGTTATCAATGGGCGAAGAAGGGATGCCGTATGATAATATATTTGTATGGAATGCCTATCTAACACAAGCTATTCGATCAAGGTGCAATAACACTATCTGGACAATAGCATTAGTGCATGGCCATTTTAAGCAGGTATGCAACTCTCTCTCTCTCTCTCTCTCTCTCTCTCTCTCTCTCTCTCTCTCGCTCTCTCTCTCTCCCTCTCACTCTCACGTATGTGTGTGTGTGTTAATGTGGTAATGGGATTTTATTTGGTTCAGGGAATCCATGTACTCTACATTTTTTAATTGATATAATTTGGTTATACCTTGTGTATTTATTTCTCATGACATATGTATATATATCATGTACCAAAGGATTTCTGACTTTTGGTGTATTGACTGATGTTTTAGGTGTCTGATTCACTGGTTATTCATGTTTCTTGTATTTCCTTATGTTTCTTCTTGATAAAACTTGTGTTTCCTATGAAAAAAAATCTAATTAACTAAAGACTTAAATATATGAATGGAGTTTATTTTTCTTGATGATGGCAGATTAGGGTATCAATCTTTGGAAGGGACTTCAGTGTTTCTCTGGTCTCTAGGCGCTCTCGGCATTTTGCAGGGACACGGTATGTTATAGTTTTGAATATCACGTTCACACTGTCTTCATTTCTTCAATTATTCAGAAAGCAGTTCATATGGCGTGTAATTTTTTTTTTTGTCTTGTAAGTTTTATGTACGTGGTTCATGGTATTTTGGAATGGGATTTTAATGGTATAGGATTATGCTAGTAGACCTGGGTTAAAAGAGTTACTCAGTTTTTCCTTTTTAGTTCAGTTATCTGATACTTTCTTGTTATAATTTAAATATTTGTGTGGAAGGGTTCTTTTGATTGTATGTAGTCTTTACTAGTATGGTATTGATTAAAATGGTTCATTTTCTTTCGTGAAATATGTGAAGTTCAATTTCTTTAGCTTTCATATTTTGAATTGAATACTTATTTGAACAATGAAGTATGAGCAGCAATAATTGTTTCAAGTGAAATATAATGTTCAGTTAAACATATATAACGTGCAACATGTCTTCAAGACCGAGTCTGATGTAAAAATGATTATATCTCATAAACAGTTCATCTTTTGCTTCTTCCTTGATGGAAATTATGAATTATCCCCTGTGATGTACTCAGGGAAGGACTGAAGGACGAGGAGCAACAAACAAGGTCAGCTTCTCTTTTTGTCACATCGGATTGGATTTCCATTTCAATGCATTCCTTTGTGACAGAATATGGGAGAAGATTTGTTTTGTTTTGTTCCTCCCCTTAAAAGATTCAACACAAGACTTCTCTCTCTCTCTCTCTCTCTCTCTCTCTCTCTCATGCTTTCTTTTACAAAGTCCAGCTAAGTAGTCTCTTTTATTCTGCTTGGTTTTATGGTTATTTAGATTTCTTCTTTCTGCTTCTCTCTCTCTCTCTCTCTCTCTCTCTCTCTCTCTCACTATATATACACAGATACACATAAGACCTCAATTTCACAGGTTCTATTTTGTGCAAACAAGGAATAATTATGTTTTTTAAATCTGAAT